TCACCACGATTGATTCTCTTACCTATTGTCTTTCTTTATCTAATAACACTCTTTAAATAATTATATATCCATTTGGGACTCTTGTTATTTGATGCCTTTGTGCATTAAATATCTCCTTATTTAAATTGTTATGTTAGTCTTCAATCTCATATAACGTGGCAGGTCACCCACTGTGGTCATGTTTTGTGTGGGTATTGTGGTCAGGTCAGCTAAAAAGGTGGGGTCACCCTCTGTGGGTACATTAATTGTGAGTTCACGTTATTTACACCCTCTCGTTGATCATGTACTTCACCCCCAAACCTTTCATCCAATCAAAGTTTGCTCCTCTGAAATTTGTAAATTAATAGAATTTTTCTTTCTGATATCAAGTTCTATTTTGAATCTCACTTCTTTGTGATCGTTATTAGCTAGTTCACTCTCTACACCGACATAACTAATGATGTTTTCTCGGTTTGACAGAACCAAATCTAGTATATTATTAATAATTAATAATTAATAATGGTTGCCCTCATGTAACAAGGAGGAGCCATAGGGTCACCTTGGCGGGAATTTTCTTAAGGTGTAGAAGCTTTCGCCTACACAACAACCACACCCTAAGTTAACAAGCTGAGTTACTCAGTGTCAAGGATTAGTCCAAAAAGACCGGACAGTTTGCCAACTGCACTGGCTAACCATTTTCCCAGAACACAATCCACAAATTGATTAACATCCAGGTTCCCAATTACTGCTGGATAGACAGAGGTAAATGGTGTCAAGAAATTTGCCCATAGTTTCATCCTGCCCGGGGATTGAACCCGGGACCACTCGTCTGCGAGGTGAGCATACTGACCTTTAGGCCACAGGTCACCACTACAACATTTACTTCAGGTGGGTTCGGCTATATGTTAATTTAGGATGCAGTCCTGAACTATTTCAAGGAACTCCTCTGATTCTGAGTTACCTGTAAGGTCGTTCAAATCTATTTGACTATAGTTAAAGTCTCCTACTGTACAGACTTTACTATCTCTAGATGCCCCATTGATTTCATCCCAAATAAGTTGTCCATCTACCCTATCAAAGTTAGGGGGTCAATATACTACACCTTTGATAAATTTTCCCTATCCTCGGTTAAGTCTATCCAATTTATTTCTGTATTCAATTTAGTTTTTATTTCCTTAATGATTCCACACTTCAAATTATCCCTGACATAGATTGCCACCCAACCGCCTTTCCTAATCTGTCGATCAGTATGAAATAATGTATAACTCTTAATGTGGTATTCGACAGGTAACTCTCGTGAGTCTAAGTTAATCCATGCTTTGGTGAAAGCTATTATATCGATATTTTCTTTACATATGCTCAGATTTCATCCTTTTTATTTTTCATACTTCTACGGCTTGCATAGTAGACATCTAAGTTGGCCATGAACTGAGTCCTCTCTCTGTCGCATTTTGGTTTTAACTCTGACTAATTTAGCTTTATTGTTGTTTCTAGCACAAGTTCTCTGTAACCTATCATTGTGTATCCTCGTGCCCACTGCAGTCTAATCGACCCTGCGCTCTCATGTTCCCGTAGCACTATAGAGTCAAGAGAGCCAGCTAATTTTGCCACCCCATCCCTAGATAAATGTACCACATCCCCAGCATAAAATTCCCTTCTACCGTCGTAGTTGTCCCAGTTGTCAATGAATGGGACGGATATTGACCTGCAATATCTGTCAAGATGGCAGTTGACAACAACTGCCCTTGACAACCATCAAGGCAGGACGCCACATACTGTACGACAGGGATCTCCCCTTCATCCTAATTCCTTCGTTAGTTGCCTTGTACTTATCAAGAGCTCCTCACTCCTACACCAGCCAATTTTCCCCACTCCAGCTCTCAGCAAACACACTCTCATCCTATTTTTGTCTTAAAAAAAAAGCTCGTTCTTGGAACCTTACCTGAGAATAACCGACAATTTGGGTTTTCTTACCTTCCTTGTCAGCCTTGTCCTTCATTATCTTACCATTCATTTCATCTTCAAAGTACTAAAGGAATTAGTACACTTAGATGATCTTCCTCGCGACCAGTCTTATCGACGCTCTCCTCACCACCTTCCAGTGGCAGGTGAGACGACAGAAAATTTTGTCATGATTTTCGTGTATCCGTGTTTTGCACATCCTACTGCATGAATAAATCTGCTTCTTCATGTAAACATAGAGACAAATTGCTGGTATCCATATCTGGGCTGCTGAAAACATTCTTTCCCTTCCTTGAGACTACGTGCTTGTTTCCACAATGTAATGTCTTGGACAGACCTTTTAGAATGTGATAAAGTTCTGGGTTGTTTTCATCCTCCCCTAGAAATGCATTCCAGTTTTTAAGAATCCTTTTGCCTGGGAGAACACACATTTGGACACTTCTCTCTCGTTTTCTCCTGGGGATATAATCATTGCAGATGATGTCAAGCCTCTTGCTCAAATTCTGCAGCTGGTACATCAAGTATTTCATAAAGACATTTTCTTCATATTCCAAAAAAGTTTTTAATACACCTGGTTTTAAAAAGTTCACAACAACAGCTCCATTGAGAAGCATAACTTCGACATCATGTGGTATCTGAGGATTTGTCGCCAAACTTTCCATGATTTGCCCAAGATTAGATTTTTTTTTCCTGATCGAGACTCCAAATTGCAACAATGGTTTTGTTGACGACAGCTTTTCATGACAGAAAAACTCTTCATGACTGCTGAACAACCCCGTACCTGGCAAGACAAACAGAGCTGTGAGAGGAGGGTACAATTTTTTGAGTGAGTCACTCTTGTTTATGATTTGAAACAATTCGTGCTGGTGGGCAGTTGAACAGCGGTAATCGGTTCTTGCAAATTGAATCAAAGAGTGATTTAGTTCTCTTTCTGATTCGATCTTGTACAAGACATGCGAAATTCTTTTGTCCAACTTGATCTATTTTCTATATAGTATCACTTTCTGATCAAAAATGCCATAGATAAATTTCCCATTTTCTCAAATGTGCTTTGAATACATTTAACCCGTTTGTGGTGCTGAGTACTTAGTATCTTTGAGTGATGAGTTTCCTGTACAGCATCAAAATCACGAATCATCCTTGCTATTTCTTATCCATAAACCATCAATCGAAGTAATTCAGAACAGTTTTCAGTCAGCCCTACGGTTCTTCCGTCCCCTTTGACACTCCTGTTGTTTTGCCTATGTGCTTGATTAATTGGAATTCCAGAAAATGCTCTGCAATTTATGTACTACGAATTCCTTGGCCAAATGTGGATGCTTCCTTGAAAGACTGAGCATATCACGCAGGTGAACTGGTAGCCAACGAGAACAGTGTAGACGATCCAAAGCAAAAGACAATGGAACAATTTTTGTTAAGGCATCCTTGTACCTATTGATATTCCCTTCACGTAAAGACTGCAAGAAAGTTAGAACATCAACACAAATCTAGTATCAGTGACCAGTACTGAAATTGTGGACTCTCGCCTATTCTCACAACACGCCAGGCATTTGGAAGACTACGTCTTGAGCATGTACGGCATTGATGAAAGAATCTTTCAAATGACAACCATCTTGCTCTTCTCAAATGGTCTGTCATCAAAATTCATTCATATAATGAAGCTTTACAGTGCAAGGGAGTTTCAATCTTTTAACACATAATCACCTATTTATACAGAATACTACAGGGAACTTCTTATAAAATGGTGGCTATTTTGAAAATGGCGGCCATATTAGATTTATATTCAAATGACCCTATATCTATTTTTATTCAGCTAGTAAAAGAACATCTTGACTGAAGGGATAATGGGAGAGAGGACGTGTGGGTTGAGCGTTTGTCCAGTTTAATGGCACGATTATAAGAATCTTGCTAGCCTTAAGCCAAATTTATGATGTGATATGATCCTATCATCATCATCCTCATCATCAATTATCATTATTATTATTTATTATTATTATTATTGTCCACGACTCAGCTACATTACCCCTTGTTGGGATGACTTCCTTTATAATCATACCAACTATTTGTAATCTAGTGAACTAATATATGCGTGCGCTCAAGCCCTTGTGGCAGAATAATATTATTTTAAAGTCACTCAGTTGTCCTGCTGGTCTTGGTCTTGCTGGCACTCGTTGGTGCTGCCTGGAAAGTTCAGCATTTTTATTTGTCCTTTTATCTTTTGTTTTCTTTTCTATTTTCCATCAATTGGTTGTTGGCATCGCTGTGTACACTATATCCCCCTATGATTAGTGAATCATATGCACAATCAAAGTCCATTAGAAAACACAGAAAAACCATTCTTTGTGACACCAATATTGTATTTTTATTACTCCCGGGCACTCAAGCCTGTTGCTTCCTGTAAATATTTTCCACTTGAATTATTATAAAGTTTCCACATCAGCCACTGTTGTCACTATGAAATGCCTTAGCTAAAGGTACAGTACGTACGACATTCTATGGACGGTCAATCTCAGCCACACTGTACAATCACGAGTAACAATAAAAATGCGACGTCGATTTACACATTCGCATCACTAAGACGATCTTTGATGCACATATGCATTCACTCTATGCTTTCTGACGCTCATCAACGAAAGCCCAATTGTCAACAAGCTTTGTTACGAAACGATCCGCACAATCGAAATATTAGTTATTTACATTGGCGTATCTGTCTTTGTGGCTGCAATATCTAATGCATCAACTCCTCAGAAGTTACTGAAATTTACTCCAGAAATGTACTCTTCCCTTTCTCCAAGTTCGTAGGTAATTTATCTTTTTATTATATTTAGAACGAAAAGATAATTTAAACTATTTCTTCGTCGTCATATATGTATGCAGTGGTAAAATGATGGTGCCTGATTGGCTAATTCCTAAGTAGTATGAGACGAGTAGCAATTAAAACTACCATTGTGCTTCGAAGCAAAAAAATAAAGTCTTTGATAGAAGTAAACGAAATTTTGCTGGGTTACCTGTAGTGCAGCATAATGCAGCTGGAGACCAGTAAACTTTTTTTACTTCTTACCTGTGCCTGAGTCATAATCGTCCCCTGGAGCCGTCCAGGTGATGTTCATGGTTGAGTGTGAATAAGTCACCTGCAGGTCTGTGACCCGGGATGGTGGTAGAGCATCATCTCCAGTTGGGGTCTGAGTTACCTGTAATGTATTGTTAATTTATTCTCTCGGGCATTCTCTTGTTGTAATACAAGATGAATATTATATGGCTGACATTAATAATACTGTGGCTGACATCACTGTAAAGTAATACTGTGGCTGACATCACTTTAAAGTAATACTGTGGCTGACATTACTGTAAATTAATACTGTGGCTGACATAACTATAAAACTGGCTGACATCACTGCAATACTGTTGCTTACATTATTAATACTGTGCCTGACATCACTTAATGATGTGGCAGACATTACTAATACTGTGGCTAACATCACAAACAATGTGACTGATATCACTGTTATACTGTAGCTGATATCACTAATACTGTTACTGGACTGACATCAGTGTAAAAGTGTTTCTAATATCACCGTTATACTGTGGTTGATAGCCTTATGTCATATATATATGTAACTGGTTGGAATTCCTATTGGGGTTTATTTAAATGGATGGTATTTTCAGTGGAAGGGCCCCCTAGGATACCGAACCAGCACAAACAAAATTAATGAAGTATTTACCGTGACCTGGACTGGTGGTCCTGAGATTGGGGTTAAAGAGACGCACTGGTAATGATATGACACTTGTATTAATTAACAGCACCAACCTTACAACAGTAAAACAATATTAATTGCATAAGAGATAACAATTCATTTGGATTAACCCCTCAACATAGCTTACATTGCTAGACACCACTATTACTAGCACAATAATTCATTTGGATTAATTTCTCAGCACTTCTTTCATCGCTAGACACTCAGCTTAGAAAAAATGTACCTGGTTCCATTGTGAGCTCACCAGCTTAGGAGTTGCTGAGTTTAAGCCCAGTGACACTCCCATTAAAACGCAACCCGACGTATCTTTAACTCGCAGCACCTCGACACACATATCCAAAACATAACATAGTGGTCTGGAAAACCCCACAAATAAAATTAACCCCCCTGAAAATATTAGTTCTTAATTCATTATACTGCAAAAAGATAGAAGATTATAATCAATAACCTGCACAAGAACATGGGTCAGACATAATGGCCTGATATCACCAGAGTCCAAATCATCAGGCACATACATGAAACCCCGAATTGTGTGAACCGAAAAAATCACTCATGACTCGTCAGGGGGCGGCTCATCCGCTTATTCTTATTACTTTACTTCTGGGTTCATGAGTCATGTGTGCTGTTCTCCACCATACCCGTAACCGTGCTCCACGACACTGGCCCGGAATACACTATTACTGTCAAGTTGTACTACATACATAGCACCAAACAACCATTTAAAAAGTACTCCCACCTCCGGAGTGTAAGATCAACCATCAGGGTCGTCGACCTCACACCAGGACTTGGCTAGACAAACCACATACACCCATAGTTGAAGAGAGATGAAGGTACCTAATAGAAGAATCCGCACCGATATTCGGTGGGCATACAGTACAGTACTTCTTAGCTCCATGGGAATATCTGTCTCCCAGAGTTCAACCTTTCACTCCACTCATCCTGCACCCAGGGCAAACTTCTCTCCCAGTTACTTTAAAGGAGGGGGAGAGCGGAAGAGTTAATCCTGCCCAGTTAGGTCAGGTCATCGTACAACCTGGTGTACCTTGCCCCAGCTAGAAGAGAGATTTAGTTTTCCCTCCTAAGAAATTTCTTTAGCTGTGGTGTTATGTCGTGTTGGCTTGCTGCCAGTCTCAGCGGGGTTACTACACGTGTGTGGCACGCATCTGTCTATCCTGGGAGATCCGGGTGAAAACCAGGTTGACCATGTGGGGCCAGCACCAGTCGCCTTCATATTCACTAGTAACGTCTACTTTGCACAGTTAGACTTAATATAAAAGTTTACTCTACACACATACTGTAAACTCACTAGTAACGCTTCATGTACACACAGACTCACGAGTAGGCTTAAAGTTTCCTGTACACATATAGACACGTTAGTAATGTGTACTGTACACACAGACTCACGAGTAGGCTTAATGTTTCCTGTACACACATAGACACGTTAGTAATGTGTACTGTACACACAGACATATAAAAACATAAGAAAATAAGGAGTCTGCAATAGGCCGGTTGGCCTGTGCATGGCAGCTCCTGTCGAGAGTTACTACCACTCTCTTTCATCCATGAATCTATCTAGCCTCCTTTTAAAACTCTCCAGCATTCCAGCACTTACTAGAAGGTTGCTAAGCTTATTCCACTAGTCTACCACCCTATGTGTGAACCAGTTCCTTCCTATCTCCCTCCTAAACCTAGACTTATCCAACTTAAATCCGTTGCTATGAGTCCAAACCTGCTCGGATATTATAAGAACTTTATCTATATTTCCATTATTGATTCCTTTCACCCACTTAAATACTTCTATCAGATCTCCCCTCACTCTTCGTCTTTCTAGGGAATGCAAGTTAAGTTTCTTTAACCTATCCTGATATGGAAGGTTTCTAAGTCCAGGAATCATTTTTGTCATTCTTCGCTGCACCGACTCTAGTGAATTTATATCCATTCTATAATAGGGGCACCAGAACTGAACGCATAATCGAGGTGCGGCCTGACTAGCGCAAGATATAGTTGCAATAAGACCTCTGCACTCTTGTTACTTACACTTCTAGATATAAAACCCAATACTCTGTTTGCCTTATTTCGAACATTAACGCACTGTTTTCTAGGCCGTGGTCCGGGCTTACAAGTACCCCTAGGTCTCTTTCATAAGTCGACTTCTCTAGGATGATGTTGTTAAGGCTGTATGCATTATAAGTATTTGTTCTTCCAATATTAAGTACGCTGCACTTGTTGGTGTTGAATTTCATTTGCCACTTTTCAGACCACCCCTGCAGTTTATTTAGATCCTCCTGTAATGCATTTGCATCCTGCCCTGAATTAATCTGCCGCCCTATTTTGGTGTCATCCGAGAACTTGATTATTTCACTGCTGATCTCAGTATCTAGATCGTCTTTGTAGATTATGAACAAGAGTGGGCCCAGTACTGACCCTTGGGGAACCCCACTAGTTACACAGCCCCACTCAGAGTTCACACCATCTACGCTGACCCTGTGTGTTCTATCGGTGAGCTATGATTTTATCCAATTTACAACTTTCCCCTCGATACCACGAGCCTTAGCTTTTTTCAGAAGCCTCTGATGCGGTATTCTGTCAAACGCTTTGCTAAAGTCTAAGTAAATAACATCGTATTTTTTTTCATTATCTACTGCCTCGAAGACTTTCCCAAAAAATGACACTAGATTTGTTAGACAATATTTTCCCTTTGTAAACCAATGTTGAGATGTTTTTTTCTAAATGCGATCGGATGCTATTTGCTATAATTGATTCAAGAAATTTCCCCACTACTGACGTGAAACTAATCATCCTGTAATTTGACGCTGATGCTGTCTCACTTTTTGAATATGGGTACTACATTTGCCTGTTTCCACGAGTCTGGCACAACTCCCGTTTCTAGTGATTTTGTAAATAAATTTACGAAGGGTCCGTTAATCTGTTCCTTACACTCTTTCAAAACTCGAGGGAAAATTTCATCCGGCCCTGGGGATTTTGTCTTCTTTAATTTATTTATCTTCTTAAGAATATCCTCTTTTCTGATAGTGATATTCTTTAATTTCTCTTCTTCATTTCCCCTAAATATCAGTTCCACCTCTGGAATTTCCTCGTGAATTTCTTCTGTGAAAACTGATAAAAAGTAGCTGTTTAATGCTTTACTTATTTCCTCACTATCATCGATCACTTCCCCTCTCTCTGACTTTAAAGGCCCCACTTTGTCCTTGACCTTTTTGCTATATACCTGGAAAAATCCCTTGGGATTCGCCTTGGATTCGCTTTCTATCCTGGTTTCGTAGTCCCTCTTTGCCTTCCTTACATTTGTCTTAACATTCCTACATAGTTCATTATACCTATTTCTGAGCTGCTCCTCCCCTCCCTTTAATTTCTTATAAATTCCTTTCTTTATTCCTATGTCATGTTTAAGTGTTCTGGTCATCCATCTTGGCTCATTCTTATTTGACCTAATTTTTCTTTATGGTATATTTTATTCCTGTGCTTTACGTAGTGTACTAGTGAATATATTATAGTCATGATCAATTGTTGTGTCGCCTTTGACCTCACCCATTCCTACCGGGGAATACCGTGACTGTTCCCAGGTGACCTCACCTAGGTAGCTTCTTCACCCCTGACAATCCACCAACCGAAAGTTTGGGACTCTGACCATACTGTCATTGATTTTTGTTTCCCAATTTAGGGTGAACCTGATTTCTCTGTGATCACTGTTCCCTAGTTCTTCTCTGATAATATTTTCTTTATTTGTTAATGCTAGTTCTAATATATTGTCACCTCAAGTAGGTTCTGTAATTAGTCATTTAAAAAAAATTGTCCTGTCTTCAGATTCATAGTCATCTACATTGTTGTCCCAATCAATATTTCTTTAGTTGAAATCCCCCATAATGCACAGATTGCTGTATTTTGCTGCCCTATTCATTTTATGCCATATGGACTGAGGTCCTTCTTTCCCAAGACTTGGGAGCCTGTAAATTACTCCCATAATTAGTTTTTCTCTTCGTTCCACAATATCTACCAATACAGACTCGGTTCCTATTTCACACTTTATTGAATTATTAATACAACATTTTAATGCAGACTCACAGTAACGGCTACTGTTTACACATTGACTCATCAGTAATGTCTGCCTGTAGACTCATTATTAACGTCTGCCTGTACACACATAGACACACTAGTAATGTCTACTGTACACACACAGACACACTAGTAACGTCTACTGTACACACACAGACACACTAGTAACGTTTACTGTACACACACAGACACACTAGTAACGTCTACTGTGCACACACAGACACAATAGTAATGTCTACTGTACACACACAGACACACTAGTAACGTCTACTGTACACACACAGACACACTAGTAACGTCTACTGTACACACACAGACACACTAGTAACGTCTACTGTACACACACAGACACACTAGTAACG